CAGGCCTTCCCCAGGTGTGTGAACCTCACAATCACAGGCCTTCCCCAAGTGTGTGAGCCTCACAATCACAGGCCTTCCCCAGGTGTATGTGTGAACCTCACACTCACAGGCCTTCCCCAGGTGTAGGAACCTCACAATCACAGATTCCATGCTTCAGTGTGTGGATCCCACTATCATCCTTGCACTTCCATGTCTCCTACAGAGTGGGTCCAGGCCATCCTGCAGTCATCTGATGGTTAAGTCAAAGATGGAGACAGGATGTGAGCACCTTGCTCATTAGAAGACAGCCTAGTTTCCGGGCTAAGGCCCTCAGATAGGGGAGAACATACCACAGGACGGCATGTCTCCAGACCGGGAGTCAGGGGCCCCACCTACTTGAGTGGAGAGGAAGGACATTTGTTGGTTCATTTACTTAACATGGATGGTTTTTTCACCAGGCTCATTTGGCCTTGATGTTGGAGTCCCCTCTGTATGCTATGATTACCGTTAATGAAAGAAAACTGTCTTGGCCTGTTGATAGGGCAGAACTTAGGTAGGCGAGGAAAACTAAACTGGATGCTGGGAGAAGGGAGGCAGAGTCGGAGAGAAGTCATGTAGCCCTGCCAGAGACAGATGCCAGAACTTTAGCCAGTAAGCCACAGTCACGTGGCAATACACAGATTAAAAGAAATGGGTTAAATTAATATGTAAGAGTGAGCCAATAAGAGGCTAGAGCTAATGGGCCAAGCAGTGTTTTAATGAATACAGTTTCTGTGTGATTATTTCAGGGCTAAGTGGCCGGGAACTAATTAGTGGCCTCCTCCAACATGGCCTGGGGCCTAGCATTCATCCAGAACTGTCTAAATGCCTGGAATCTAACATGTGTCCAGAGCTATCTAGAAGAAGTTAGATAAAATTGGAAAACGACAAAATATTAATTGCATTACACATGATTTATCTACCTCAGTCTCTCTATTCAGCTCTACTCAGGTTCATTCTCTCTCTCTCTCTCTCTCTCTCTCTCTCTCTCTCTCTCTCTCTCTCTCTCCTTTCCTCTGTCCATCCTTCCTTGAGGGTTAGTTAATAATTCAGTGTACAATGGTGTGTTCTGATGACTGCAAGTGTAGCAATTTAAATGCTATTTGTTTCTATACAGCACAGTGGAACCTCATTTTTCCAGGAGAGTCGTTTTCACAGCTGTGCCAGGCTTCTCACAATAAAGCACACCTGGGCACACCTGAAGCCCATTTGTTGAAGAAGAAATGTGGTGGTAATGGGTTTGTGACAGACACAATGACAAGCAGTGTGTTTTAAACACTGACATTTTATTGGGTGTTTTCAAGGACTCATACATTATTAGGATAAACTCTAATTTATAACAGTATGTAATAGGCAAATATATAATACAATAAATTGCATTTGTACACATAAATACAAAATTTGAGGTAGGGCCTCAAGAGTGATGACTTCTTAAATGGATAATGCACAATATATAATAAGCACTCTATACAATAGATAGATATATATGATGCATCATTTTGTAACATAATATATTTTCTTCATGTACAGCTGATGAAAAAATATAAGGACCTGACTAGGAAACATCTTCATTTGTGAACAGTAGTGCTCACAGGAGATGCTTGCGTTCAGAACATTACCCAAGCACATAATTTAATACGTAACCCGCTCTTTGATAGGTCCGTCATAAAGTGCAAAAGAACACGGACAAATGAGAAGCGCGGCAGTTCCCAGTTGACACCCAAACATCACCCCAGTGGTGCTAGATAGAGCACGCCTGTCAGGGGTCATCCTCAGACGCTAATCAAGCTTCGGCTTGCTTTTCAAGGGTGATGAACACCCATCTGAACTCCTTTCTCGGCAGGCAGTTTACAGCAACCTATGCCAAGACCATATTTCACCGTGGACCTTGTAGGCAAGCACAGCTAAATGAGAGAAAGACGGGACGTCTCACTCCCAATCCTCAGGCCAGCTCTGCATAACACACATGGTGAGGCAGGGGAGGCAGGCTTGCTGGTCTCTGCCTCCACGCCTTGCATGTCACCCTACCACACAGAACACCCTCACTCACGTCAGTGCCTCGGAGAAGCACACCACAGACCCAAATCCCAACAACACAGACAGGATGATCTTGCTGTGGCACATCTAGCAGCAGCTACTGTGCTATCCTCTGGGAAGAGTACAATGGCCCATGGCCAAGAAGACGAAGAGCAAAGTGTCGCTTTAAGGCATGGGAAGCCCATGCGGACAGAAAGGAACTGAGAAGCGCTGAGGCACACATAGATAACAGAAGAGAAACAAAACCCTGACCCCCTCAGTGCTGTGCCTGCATCGCGAAATCTGAGTCCCATCCATGAAAAAGTCCTTGTGTTCAACTCTTTCTAAAGTGCCATTCCCTGAAGTACACATCGATTGCAGCTCTCACACATTAAAAACACATTTTAAAAAAATTCCGAAAGCGTCAAGGTCATTAGGATTTTGCATTGACCACGGGTATCATGCAAGAAAGAAATACATAGGGGCAGATAAAACAACTATCACGAAAGACCAGAACTGGACACATTTGTTCACAACAAACACAGCCTGAAGGAGATTAGAAGTCTCTAGTAAGCAAGACAATTACACAGCGGTTTGCATAAGAAACCACAACACCGATAGTTAATAAATACATGGTGCTTTTTGTTTTAAGGATATTAAGGGGTTACTATTTTTCACATATGGCTTGTTTTTCTCTGTATAAGTTTATTGGTTGGTGGTATGAAATAATCTCACAGATGGAAAACTCCCCGCCACTGCGCGCAGGGAACCAAAGTCCTTCCTAAGCAACGTTGCTTTTCCTTCAGTGTCCAGGGAGAATCTCAGGTGGCAGTTACGACAGCGCTTTCATTTTCTATTTTTTCAGTCATTTTTTTCCTTCCAATCAAGTGTGCATTTTTGTAGTATGGAAACAATCCATCGAGTCGGGTATATATCAGCTCTCAGTATCCCGACCAGGTCCAGGAGACAGGTCATTGACGTACAGCATAAATGGAGGCTACTCAGACACACTCCTCCTGCCAGGGAGCGCCTTGAAGTTGAGCAGGGCGATCGATGTGGACAAGCCTAAACTTCAAGGGCAGCTATGTCCAGGTAAGCCTGGATTCTTTGTCTTACTTGGTCCTTTTAAGCAGTTTTTACATAAAACTAGGGAAAGAAAAATGAAGCAACAACAGCAAAATGGACAAGTACACAGGGGTAGCTTCTAGGTGTTTCCTCGACATACCCTACTAGACACAGCTGTAGCTGCCCCAGGTACAGTCGCCCCAACCGATGAGGTCTCCAGGAAGTCAACACTCAGTTCACATCTGGCAGTGCCCACGGTCTCCCCCCACTCCCGCCTTTTAATCACAGAGGCAAAAATTAGCAGCAATTGGGTTGGCATCCTGTACCAGTCCCAGCCGCAGCCCAGAGGAAACTCAGAAGCCGGAAGCCATTCATCCCAACACAAGCACAAATTCGTCTGTGTTAAGGACCAGCTTCGCGCTTTTCTTAACCTGAAAACTGGTGGGGTTGTGTGGAGTTTCCAGACCGACCTCCCTACTCACACACACCACCCACGTGTTGGTAGCACCCTGCGATTCTGGGGCAGGAATGGGGCCACTCATCGGTATGGCTTTCTGGGGGAAACGTAATGACAGCAGATAGGAGACAACTGAGCCCACAGCTCGTCTTCCTAAAATAGGGCAAGCCTAAGGCTTCATCTCTGTGACAGTCTAGACAGACCTACTTTTGGGAAATTGGGAGAAAAGAGAACATGGAAGAGGGAGAGCAAACCCTGCAAGCAAAGACATGAAAGCCAGGAGTTCAAAGCCCACCATGGTCTCTTTCCTAAAACATGTCATGGCTACTCTGGGAAACCCAAGTACCCATCGGTGTCGGCAGGTGGCGTGAGCACTTGCCCTAGGAAAGAGAAAGTCCAGTACAATGGCTTCCGACGCTTCACACAAATGGAGTCATCTTTTTAAAGGGATCCATTATAACCTGCTGTTGGGGCATCATCGCCGTGGCGCGGGATGAAAATGTCACTTCAATAGACAAGATCTGAACTGAAAACTTTGCCTGAGACCCTGTTAGATGAAGACAAACTAATAAGAAAACGATTGAACCAGTCTCCCCTGGAGGAGACGATTTTAGGTTGAGATATTAATACTGTAAGAGGAAAAGATAAAAAGACCAGACTGTGCTGCTCTAACCTTGCCATCTCTGTGGTGATTCCTAAGGTATTTATAAGGACAGAAAGCACCACTACATGCTACATGTACATACTGCAGGAGCACACACCACAGTTTAAGAGTTTCCTATATGCCTGCTTGGGAGACACAGCAATCAAGGGTACGGCCTGGCCAGGTTCTGCAGATGGGCGCTCATTCTCACTGGAGAAAGACAATGATGCTGTGGATCGAGAGTTCCGGAAGCTGAACTGGCTGAACGCATTCTCAAGAGCGATGGTCTTAGTTGGCTTACTCACTACCTAGCTAAGCTGTCTTAATCGGAAAGTTCTGAAAATACGGGGACCTAAGATGTACATCCCCAGGGATGAGTAATAGTAGGATGGCTTTCTACCAATCTCTTGATGTCTCTGATTTCCCTATGGCCACAACTGGCATTAGCTGTTACTTGAAAAGGAGTCAAAATTGAGAAACTATCTTTTAAGAGTTCGTGTCCCATATACAGGCAATATAGAGAGAGAACCGCGTTAAGTCTCATTTTCCCAGAGGTTATACAGCTTATAGAAAGAGATTCGGAGGCAAAGAGACAGCAATTATGACACTGAGCCATGGTGCTGAAGACATTGTGGTAAATAGGACAGCGATATAAAAGTCGACATGCAAATCAGAGCCTGGCTTCTTGTGCAGAGGGTGGAAGAAAAGACCCAAAGAATTAACCCCCAAATGTGGTTATTACAAAGAAGGAAAAGAAGGAGGAGGGAGAGGAGGAAGGGGAGGAGGACAACAGACAGACTGAGGGAAGAGAATGAACAATCCTTCCAGATCTACAGTGTAGAGAGATGAAACATCTAAATGCATGGTATATTCGGTCAAAATAAAAGAAACGGATATGCACATCAAACCACCCAGCGGTGCCCAAATCCACCTACCAGCCTTGTCTGCACCTAGAGCCGTCTCCGGCACTGCCATCTGCCCTAAAACACCTGACCTGAACTTCCGACTTCTGAATGAGATCGTGACATTGCCCAGCTCTGCTGGACGGTGTCGAGGGCAAGCCAACAGTCCTCAAAGTCTGCATTCTCCCATGCCCTGCTCCTTCCAGCAAATGAGAACACACATCAGGATTTCTCTACTGCTGAACCATGCACCTGCCAGTGCCCACCTGGTCTACCCCCCTGCAGGACGAATGGAGCACCTGATGGGGGAGCGGTCCTCCCTGACATGGATAGCACAGACCCAGGCAGACAGCGCTTCCAGTGGTCTGTGTTACTCTCACTACCGCATGCGACAGACACACTATGTCCTACTTTTCTATGGAACACTCTCATGCACGGCTGTGAAGCGAGGGATGGGGAGAAAGAAGAAAACTGGGAATAAAGCTGGGGAAGGTGTGTGGGAGGCAGAGAGGACAACGGGAGTAACACAGGACCATCCGCACTCCTGGACTAGCACTGGGTGCCCAGTTCCAAATCCTTCACGGGCAGTTTGAGTCCCAGGGACGAGGTTCCCAGGGGGTCGATCATATTCTTGTAACGCTCCCCGCGGTGCTGAGCTAAGAAGGGACCCCAGTCTGGCTGTGGCGAGCATACCAACTTCAGCCTCTGTGGAAAAATTAAAAAAAAAAAGCCAAAGACACACAGAGTTACAATAGGACTACACCTTCCTCCACTGTGGCGCACCTAGCCATCTCCAAAAGGCTAGGAACCACTGTTCCAGATCCGTCTCTCACTGGAGCCAAGAGGTTCCTGCAGAGAGGGAGACAATCAGGAAGACTAGCCCACATTCGTTAACCAGGCCAGCGATAGAAATATCAAGACTCAGTCTGGTTCACTTGAAATTGTTTACATCACCCTGAGAGCAACATGATGATCGCTCCATGTTTACCTTGCACAAGTTTAGTAGAGGCCAAAGGGCCCAGATTTAGTTATATGTCTCTCCCCACCAAATGAAGAGAACCCACAAGTTTCTACTTCTGCTCCCCAACAGCAAAAGCCATGGGCTCAATTACATTTGTTCAGTAGTCTCAATGGTGGTTGCTACAACAAAATAATTGGATTTCATTTAGCATATTTCCCCAAAGCATATAAACGGCAAAGAAAAAAAAGCCAGCCCTGAAGATACATCACCAAGCATGAACAAAGGTTTTAATTATCTGTGGACAAAAATATATGTTTCTGATTTGGTTCAGCAGTGCAGGTTCATATAGGTAAGCTTTAAAATAATAGGGGTGTCTCTGGTCCTTCATCAGAAGTTTTTATAGGAAAGAAAATCTGACAGAAGCATCTAGAAAAAGAAAAAAACTTAGTTCTTCCTATATAAGAGGGAATAATTATATGTTTATTGCCTATTAAAGAGAATCTGTTTCTCGTAGTTGTTAGTTTAATCTCCCCTTAATCATCAGCTTGCAACCTTTGTGTCCCAAATTACCCATAATAAATTTGCACAGCCAACTCATCAATCTAGAGAATTCCAGGCTGCAACAACAGCAGCAGAGGTTACAGCAGGTTGTTAGGGGAAAGAGATCCCAGGATCCTCTGGCTGGAAGCCGGCATCCTGGGAGTGGTTGGGACCAAGCTGATTTACACCAGAGGATAGTGAACAAAATATTCTGGGTATATAAACCAAAATATCACTTCAATATGAGGGCTCATCTTCATACAGGAGTGAGTGAAAGCAATAGCTACCCGCTGGCCCACCTCAAGTGACTGCTTGTGTTGTGTGCTGACCAGCGGCTCACCCCATCCTGCTTCTTCCGCCAGCCTCTTATTTGAATCTCGCTGCCCAAGAGCAGAACCCACGCAGCCCTTCTCTACCCCAGTGAACAGGTATTTCTTTGTACTGCTCAGGATCAGCAGTTCTCAACCTGTGGGTTGCCACCCCTTTGGCAAACCTCTAGCTCCAAAAATGTTTACATAATGATTCATAACATTAGCATAATTACAGTTATGAACTAACAATGGAAATAATTTTCTGGTTGGGAGTCACCACAACATGAGGAACTGCTATAGGGGTCACAGCACTGGGTGGCGGGGGGCTTAAGAAGCACTGGTCTAGATCCATGCAAATTTGAGCATGCATCTAAATCACTGGAAGATGAGGCCAAGGTTCCATTTCCCTGAGATCTGAGCTCTGTGTAGTCATGAGAAGCTGACTGGCTGCATTTATGACAGGCTCTCAGGTGCCATCAGACCCTGATCCAGCACTGATCTGGACCAAACACCTTCAGGATGGAGGCAGGGTTCATTCATCCTCAGTCCACCTAGGTAAGAGACCTTTCTTTCTTTGAGACGGGGTCTCAGATAACCCAGGCTAGTCTAAAGTTCGTTATACTGCTAAGGATGGCCTTGAACTCATGGCCCTCCTGCTTCTACTTCTCAAGGGCTAGAATTGTGGGTATGCTTGAACAAGGGAGTTCTCATAAGTAACCCAAGCTGGGTGGTTCTTCAGTGGGGGCTGAAGTAAATAGCAGTCCCATCCACTCCATAGGAAAGGCAAGGGTTATTTTCAGGACAAGAGTAAAACAGGTTCAGATAGAGAAGGGATCGGCTCGTGTGCTGGTTAGCCTGTCACAGCTACAATCATCTAGAAAGAAGAAGAGCCAACTGAAGGATTTTCTCTATTAGATCAGTCTGAACACAAGTCTTGGGACATTGTCTTGATTAATAATTGACGTGGGAGGGCCCAGTCCATTGGAGTAGTGCCACCTGGAGCTGATGGTCCTCAGGGATCTAAGAAAACAGACTGAGCAAGCCACGAGGAGCAAGTCAGTAAGCTGCACTCCTCCATGGCCTCTGCTTCTGCTCCTACCCCTGGGCTCCTGCCTTGAGCTCCTGCCCTGGGACTGTGGCCTGGGAATACTGAGATGAAATAAGTCCTTGCCTCCCCCAACATGCTTTTGGTCATGGTTTTATTGGAGCAACAGAAACCTAGCTAGGACACTTGGTAAAGAGAAGCCAGCCTCCGCTCATTCCAGCCACGCCCTGGGATGTCATTGTATTTTTAACCAGCTTGGCTCTTCAGTCTTTCTTAACCTGGGAACAATAGGGAGTGGTGGTGGTGGTGACTTTAAGTTTAATGGCAATAAACATTTGGAAGAAAGAAGGTTTGGATGTAGAGGGATGCTAGGAAAGGGGAGACCCTCCATGTGGGAAAAAAAAACAAAAACAAAAAACTCCAAGATGTAAATAGCAGCCCGAGGAGGAGGGGAAGGAAGCTCTAGGAAAGAGGAGATGTTGGGATCATCCATCCCAGGGCTGCCAGCACAATAATAGCTCAGCCTGACGATTTGCTGGGCTCCTCTGGTACGGGAATAATACATAACAGAAATGGGCTTAATAGAATCGGCGGCAACTGTAATCGCTTACTCACCCAGCACCCTTCTTGACTATGTTTACTGAATCTTTTGTTTTTAATGCATAGAGCTTTTAGGATCTCTCCCTTGGGAGAGGCGAGCGAGGGAAACAGAGCCAGTAGAATTACCTCGATAAATCTGCCAGGAGCCAGATACATTTTTATCACAAACATAATCGGGATCCAGATAACGGAGCAGGCAAGCATCAGCCATCCAAGCACCATGGACCAGTTAGGGTAGCGGTAAGAGCCGTAGGTCATGGGCTCCCACTGGTAGAAGCTGAAGCAAAGGATAAACTAGGAGAGAAGAAGAGAGAGGTGCATTAGGGTGATGGAGGCTGGGTCATCCATTCACGCAACAAGCACATGCTCCATGTTTTCGTTTCCCTTACATCATCTTATACATACCCTTACCCATCTGAAGAATGATTTTTCTAGTTGAAGAAAGTAAATCCCAAGGAGATGAAGGTGGCATATGCACACTCAGCTCCTGCCCCTGCGTTTGCCATCCCATAGGAAGTCAGCAGGGTGTGGACATGTGTCTACACATGGAGAGACCACACCAAGAGCACAGTGACTCTTGGGATGGGTAGGAGAGGGGATGCTGAGAGTTCTGAAGAGATTGTCTGAACTGACAATGATAATCAAGCCTCTTTTATCGTGGGGAAAAGATGTGTTAAACGTATATATTTCAATCATTTTAATTGAATCCACTTGGCTTCCCCCTAGAACAAGGAATGACCCACACAGAAGAGCTGCCTTTAAAGTTGACCGTGTGAGACTCAAAACGGTCCCCCAGAGGTGCCTGATCTAGAAGCACGGTCCTATAATAAACCACGGCAGAGAGAAAAGATACACAATCCCCCTCCATTGACTCAAGGTGAACAGCATCCTCACCAGTGAGTCCAGAGACCATGCTCTACTGCTAATGAGCTGAGGGGCCTCTCAGATTTCCCAGCAACAAAATGAGCATGTTTCATACCATGCATACAGTACTGGGGTCAGGAGGCTGGCGTTTACTCCAGAGTCCTTCCTCGTTTTTTTTTAAAGTCCATGATTTGGCTTCTGCCTATTATCTGCTATTACTCCATCTGAGATCCATTCAGGGAATTGACTGGGTCGCAGGACAGGGTCAAGGGAAGGCATTGCGAAGGACAGAGGCATCTTTACAGGGAGCCAGGCTTCAGACAGCCCCAGCCCAGCCTGTAGACTCCATCTCCCAAGACAATGTGGTTCCGTGTGTCCTTCCTGCCTGTGGCAGCATCTGCCCAGGAATGGTCACATAAGTCCTTTCCCCAGCTCTGCCTTGCTTTTCCTACCCTGAGCTTTGGAGTCGCAGAGTGACTAGAGGGAACCACGCTAGTGGAAAGAACAGGTGAGAGCTTTTTGGAGAAGCGTGGAGCTCTACACAAGCACGAGGCATCCACACTACTGCTGCAACACCCAGGCTCCAGGGCGCGTGATTCTTCTAATGCAACAGTGATTCATACGCTGACTCAAAGCGATGTGAGCCTGAATGCAAGGCTTCCACGGAGAATGAGGTCTACGTTAGCCCCACACACACACATTTGCCCCTGGAATCCCTAAGCCTTCTTAGCCCGTCTATTGGAAGTCGGGCCCAGTATCACTACGGCTTGCTGTTCTGTTCCGTTTCCTATATAAATAGCACTGCATCTGCTTGTGTGTGTGCCTTACTCAGGAACGTGATCAGACTATGCATATGTTAATTGCGTGAGGATATTTATGGCTCCATAAATCCGCAACGGCACATAGAAGAATGATGGATTTTATTTCAGAGGCCCTGAAGTAATTTAAAACCATAATCTTACCCTAGTCCAAGACCTCAAAGATATCTATGCCACGGAAGGCAAATGGCAAAGCATAGGCGGGGCTGAGACCTTTGACGCCCATTCCCACTTGTGCAAATATCACATTAAACTTTTAGGCACACGCTGGTGGCTTGCCATAAATTTCCCTCTGCCAAGTCAGCGTTGGTGAAAGTCTGCCCTTGGGTGGGCTTTGGGGCAAGGGAGTGGAAATTTAGCCACTGAGTCACGCCCACCCCTGCCTTTGACTGACCGCTACCAAGACAGACCCAGGAGACCCTGGTTGGTGAGGATGGAGCTGACCACATCTCTCACCCCAAACAGCACAGCGCATCTGCCTCAAGACAGTGCCAGGGCATCTCCTCAGCTTCTGACATGAAATCAAGAGAAGCCCAGCAGAGCTGAGGAACTTTCCCAAAAAGGAAAATTAAAAAAAAAAAAAAAAAAAAAACCAAGCTCCTTCTGGAATTCCTTCTCCCTGATTCTGAAGACTTGACCATTTTAACCCAAACTGGCCATGTTCCACCCAAGGATGAGAAGCTAGTGTGTCAGAGGGTGGGCTTCACCTCAGAGGCAATGTTTTGACTCTGTGGCCTTGTGGCCTCGAGCGATCCCTCACCCTCTCTGAGCCTCTGTGCCCGCGTCTGTGAAGGGAGAGACAGCATGGGTACAAACTTCAACAACGAGGCTGGTGAAGGGCCTGCCTCAAACACACCTCCACACAGCCGCAGCAGGTGTGTTTCCACAGAACATGGACACATGCTAACACTCTTCCAGGGCTGGAGGGAAAGGAGGGCAGGATCTGGAACAAATTCTAACATTGACTTCGCTGATAATAAAGCATGAGGAGTGGAGGTGAGGGGTCAAAGGTCAGCAGGGACAGGATGCACTACGGCAGCATCTGCAGACCATGGGTAGCACCCTCGTCCTCCTACCCACAAGCTAAGCCCGGCTCCCCACACAATCCAGCTCTGAGTACCTGTCTTTAAGACTCTCCAGGTGTCACGCCCCAACTTGGGGGTGGGGGGGGGGGGGACTTTCAAACCACAGTGTGGATGTGGGTAAGCTATGGTGTCAGTGCAGAAAATGAGGACAGCAGAATGGATTTTCTATCTAAACCTCCAGTGTTTCCGAAAGTTACGGTTTGATTAAAACACACTGTGAGACAGAATAAAAAAAAAAAAAGCAAACAAATGAAGAAAACATGTCTTTTCATTGCACCTGCTTTTATCCAGCCTGCATCTTAAGCAAAGCTGCTGTCAGGTAGTGAAAAGCGGGCTCTTTATCTGGTTTCTAGCGCCACCTACTGGGACATTAGGAATTACAAACAAGTTCCTTCAGGCTTGCCCAAAAAGGACTCCCAAAAGCCAGAGGAAGAAAAAGAAAAGCTTCAGAGGATAGGAAAGGCAAAATCTCCGCTAGTTAACTTGCTTTGTGAAGAGAGCAAAGGCCACACTGACAGCTTCTGTCACAATAATGGGGTGACAAAGTGTGAGTCTAAGTCCCTGTACAGATCACGGGCACATAAAGGGCTCTGTTCGTTAGAAGGGTGGATGTCAGGTAATCTCACAACACCATCCTGACACTTGAAGTTGGCAAAGTGGCTCTCAAAGCAATAAAATCAACAGTTAAAACCTGATTGAAACTCCATTAATTGTAGAGCAGACACACAGTGTGGTGGTTAGGAGCCAGAATACGTGAGTTTGAAACTAGACTGTAGCCAACTTTTGTATATTGCATGTTAGGTCAGTTACATAACTCCAGGCTTCAGTTTCCTTGTGATATTTTGGTGGTGGTGGCGGAGGTTCTCTGAGACAGGGTTTCTCTCTGTAACAGCTCTGGCTATCCTGGAACTCACTCTGTAGACCAGGCTAGCCTCAAAAGCACAGAGATCCACCTGCATCAGGATGTGCACCCCCACCACCCGGCAGTGATATTTAGTTTTGCTTGCCAACTTGACACACCGTAGAGTCATCTGGAAGAGAGTCTCAATGACGGACTGTCTAGATCAGGTGGCCCTGTGGGTATTATCGTACTTATGCTAACTGATGTGGGGGTCATACAATCACTGTGGATGGCATCATTCTATAGGCAGGGGGATCTCATAGTATAAAAATCAGGGGCTGGAGATATGGCTCACAGCCATCTGTAACTCCAGCTCCAGGGGATCCAATGCCATCTTCTGGAATCTGCAGGAACCCACATGCACCTGCACATACATGCACACAGAGACACACATGCACACTCATAAGAAAATAGCAGAATAAATTCTTTCCTGGAAAGTGGAGAACTAGCTAGGCACTAACAACCCTGGGTGCCTTCACATAGCTCTGCTATTGACTGTGGGTGGAGCTAGCTGCTACAGGCTCCTCCCACTGTGATGTCCTTGTTATTAATGTGGGATTCCTTCTGTATGTTATGAATATGTATTCATCTCATTGGTTAATAAAGAACCTGCTTTGGCCTATGTAAGAATAGAATATAGGCAGGAAATTAGGCAGGAAATCCAAGCAGAGATAGAGAGAGAAAGAAGGCAGGATCGAGAGAGATGCCAGCAAGCCCCTCATAAAACAGGATAGAACACCTAAAGTAACACCTTGGCCACATGGTGACATACAGATTTTTAGAAATGGGTTAATTTACAAGTGAGATCTAGTTAATAATAGCCTAAGCCATTAGACAAGCAATTTTATTAATATTAGTCTCTGAGTGGTTAACTATTCTTTTTTTTCTTTTCTTTTTTTGGTTTTTTGTTTGTATTTTCATTGTTGTTGTTTTTTTGTTTTTTGAAACAGAGTTTCTCCATAGCTTTGGAACCTGTCCTGGAACTCACTCTATAGACCAGGTTAGTCTCGAACTCACAGAGATTTGCCTGTCTCTGCCTCCCAAGTGCTGGGATTAACAGCGTGCACCAGTGATTGATTATTCTATAAGCAGTTGTGGGGACTGGCGAGCAGGAGAGAGACCGGTTCCGTGGACCCAGGGAAGACAGCGAAAGCCTTTGGTTATACATCATGATTAGTTACAACGTGGAACTGAATCCTTTGTCCTGTAAGTTGTTAGAACATTTTATCATGGCAACTGAAAATGAATTAGGATGTTCCACTTCTGCAAGACAGCCTGGCAATACTGTGAGAGGGAGCTCTACACACAAATCACCTCAACAGAATCAGAACCAAGGGAGATGTATGGTTCGCATGGCTGTGGACTGCCGTCTGCTAGCACACAAGACAGATGGATGTAAGGTAGGCATTCTACACAGATGTGCTAATGCCCATCATGCAGTCCCAGCTGTGCTCCGCACCAGCTGGGCACCTGCAGGTAAGTCACTTCATCTTTCTGAATTTCAGTTCACCCCCCCCCCGGAAGACGAGGGCAATACCCATCCCCCCAGCTCCCCAGGCTCACGGGGAGGCACATACATTCAAAGGCGGAACACTGGCATGCACATGAGGCAGTGTCTCTGAGAGAAGGCTCTCAGTCCTTACAGTTAAAATGGTCGGGGTGACAAACGCCCAGCAGACTTTCCAGAAGATGTTGGGCTGGAATCCAATCATCATCTCGATGTCTTCACAGAATCTCTGCAAGCCTGCAAAGAGACAGCAGGGGCCATGTGTGAGGTGCGGTGGGCAGGGGCAGGGGCAGATGCCAGGGCCCCTCACTCAAGAACCTTGGATAAGGAAGAACCCAACTGAAGTCTCCTATTGCACTGGAAACCCTGGGACAGATGCCTCACTGCCAGGGGCCCTGGGGCTAACTGAATGTTGAACCAGATACTAAACCCTCTCTTCAGTGAGGCTCAGAGGTGTCATGGCAACACCCCCAAGGCTTAGCTCCTGGAGTGTGACTGTGGTCCTTACACGCATATGGCTGCTGTGGGAGGCGGCTTGGTGTGCTGGTTGACAAGACTGGCAAAAAAAGATTTTGGAAAATCAAGATGCTGTTTTATGAAAGGCCTGGTACTTAACAAGAGTTTATGTGGGCTGGATGTGTGGCTCGTGCCTCTCAAGAGCATTTCCTTCACATCCGCATAGCTCTGCTGGGTGTACGATCATGATTACAGGTGAAACCAATGTACATTCCTAGTGCCCATCACACGCAGCTGGAACGGAATGGCTGTGATCTTGGCCACACCCCAGCTTCACTAAAGTAAAATGCAAAGGAGGCGGTTCTTCATCCAGTCCCACACTGCCACCTTCCTGGTAACCTTAGTTTAGGAGTGGGATTGGAACTCGGATTGGAAGGAAAGGCACTAAGAACCCTCAGAACTGGGGAGTCAATATGCAAAAGGGGGGGCCTGATAGCTTCCTGAATGCACATCTCTGTGCTAGGAATGTCTAAAACCCCACTCTTGTATATTCAAGATGTGTTCCTCATAGAGAGAGGGGAGCCCTGATGTGCTGGCGACAGAGCCATCGCGTGAAATCTAGAGATGCCTCCAAAAGTTAGAAGCAGAGGTTAACAGAGAACCAGTGTTCATTCCCACTGTGGTAGACAGCCAGCGGATGCGGGACAGTGTGCTAAAGATGTCTGATCACAGCTCACTATGGCACTATTCACAGTCACCAAATCATGACAGGAACTTACCTACCTGTCAAAGACGAGTAAAGAGAAGGTCACATCCACATACATGCACATTAGCTCATACATGCACACGTATGCATATGCATACACATCATCACACATGCATTTACACACACACACACACACACACACAAGCAACATCATACTCAACCACACCAAGGAACCTGAAGGACATTATGTTCTGTAAAGTCAGCCAGATAAAGCCAGATGCCACACAATCTCCCTTATCTGTGGAATCTAAGACAAACAGACAGACATAGCCTTGGATGCAGAGAACAGAATGGTAGCTTTCAAAGGCTGAGGAGTGCACATAGGGCTATACTGGCCAAGGGTATGTCTCTGTTAGAATAAACACTGAGGGGTATCTAAGGTAATAATTGTGTTAGCTAGTTTGATGTAATCATTGCATTGCACACATATATTGTCAGTGTCATTTGAACCCCATGACCAAGGTTGACCAGGTGAACAGGACCCTACGCTCGGGGGACCCTGCACCTGGTATAATGCTCTCCGCCCACCACCTCGAAACTCTGTGCCAAACTTTAATAAGAGATTCCATGTTTTCATTTTGTGTGAGGTCGCACAAATTGTGTCTCCCGTTCGAGTGAAGCTGTGGGCAATGCCCCAGTCGTTCTAATCTGGGCAGCATGGATGCCCGTCTCTGAAAGCTAAACCCTCTCCCGAAAGGTTTCCACCTCGGTTGAAGCTCAGCTGAACCCTCTCTCAGTCTCCACATTCATTTCTTTCATCTCTACGGGGTCGTGTTCCTGGTTTCCCCAGCCACTCACACTTTCTTTTCTCTCTGAACAGTCAAAGAGCTCAGAGTCGGGAAGCTCAGCTTAGGGCTGACCTCCTCAACCATCTTACCATCTTACCGTGTCTGTGGAGCTGGGCCTCTGCCACATACTAGCAGGATAATAAAATCCCAAATCGTCCCCATCATAGAACAAATGTCTGAATGCTTCCTCTCTAATATAGAGACCCTTAAAGGGAACTGAAAGCCTCCGATCACGCCCTTGCTCCCTCAGCACTGAGTCCAGCACCAGATCGACCAGGTTCATTTCCCTTCTCCCCAGACTGCACTCAGCCCTCTCACGCCTGTTGTCATCTTAGAAAGAACACACTGCTCTCGGGGAATGCAGTGCATGCGTTTATGCGGGTTCTCTTTCCAGCGCTAACAACTAATCCTTTCTCCCTGGATTTACTTCTTCTTGTTTTGTTTTTAGTTAGCATTCAGAACAATGACTCTCGCTAGGATACTCTGTTGTATATATATTGCAATGGGTTGCTCACAGCCTCCCATCTCCCCCTCTTTTCCTGCTCATCCTGCCCAATTTCCCCCTGTGCTTCTATGGTGAGACAGTGAGGGAAGGAGGGAGGGGAAGAGGGAAGGATGGGAGAAGAGATTGAAATTTACTTTTTGTTAGATTTCCTATATTTTTAATTATGTGCATGCGTGCATGTCAAGGTATTGTGTGCATGCATGTGATCCCAGTGCCCACAAAGGACAGCAGAGGGCACCAGATACCCTGAAATTGGAGTTTGAGGCAATTGTGAGTGCTGGGAACCAAACTCTGGTCATCTCTCAAGTCCCCAAATTTACACACACACACACACACACACACACACACACACACACACTTTTATTTTATTTTTATGTATTTGGGTTTTTTTGCTTTCACGTGTATATGGACCATGTGTGTGCCTGGTGACCACAGAGGTCAGAAGAAGCCATTGGATCCTCTGAGACTGGAGTTACAGGCAGTTGTGTGTCTGTGTGCGGTGCTGGGAATGGGACCTGGATCCTCTGGAAGAGCATCCAGGGCTCCTAACCACTGAGCCATCTCTCCAGCCCCAAGCTTTTCTTCTTAAATATCCATCAGATGCAATCCCAAGTCCAGCCTGGGTCCATCACAGGCTCTATTTGATTCTGAGGGGTGCTCCACACCGTTCCTTAGGGACCAAAGGATTTCCTGTCCCCAAGGAAATCAGAAGAGTCCAAGGAATGAAACAATTGCGCTTTACCTCATCCTTCACAACCAAGACAGCTCCTGGCGGGTTTGCTTGGGCCTGGGAGGAGACAATTTAACTTCTAAAATTAGACACGTTAAAAAGAGTCTGATTTAATCGCTTTCAGACCTCACTGAACTAGCCTGCTTTACCAGAAAGCACTTTGCGAATGGGTCTTTCATGGCCCTTAGCATGGAGAAATAGAGGAAGGGGTAACTCCCTGCACGTGGGCCTGGTTGTGCATAGGGTACAAGGGAAGCACACTCCTCTTGCCAGTGAGATGATCTCTAGTCTTAAAAACTCCTTCTCAGCTCCTATCCAAAAGTAATTCCAGGACTGGAGAGCCGGCTCTGCAGTTAAGAGCACATACAGTATTTTTTGTTGTTGTTGTTTTATTTTGTTTTGTTTTTTCAAGACAGGGTTTCTCTGCAGCTTTGGAGCCTGGCCTGGAACCAGGCTGGCCTCGAAATCACAGAGATCTTCCTGTCTCTGCCTCCTGAGTGCTGGGATTAAAGGTGTGCACCACCACCGCCTGGTTACACATATAGTTTTTATAGAGAACCAGAGTTCAACTTCCAGCACCCACAGTGGGTGACTCACATCTGCCTGGGACCCCAGTTCTGGAAACCTGGGGTTCTTCTGATCTTCACAGACACTACACTACATATACCCACACTCAGACACACATATCCAATACATGTGTTTTAATTTTTTAAAATTAAGGATTGCAACCTCTTCCTGTTTCTAGAGTGCCTGGATTTTACAAGAAAGATTTTCATTTTCTCTACAGATTCTCTGCTCTGTTTCTCTTTTATTTGAATGCAATTACCTGGCAACCTAGAAACAGTGGCATAGCTGTCATTAGAGACTAACAATCACTTCAGAATCAAGACACTTGTCCAGAGGACACACAGAAATTGGAGGGTCTTTCCCCCCCTTTGGAGAACATGTTACCTCTGGCCTCCCCACAAGATAGTCTGGGGTGCCTGCAGTCTCTGTCCCAAGCAATTCATTTCACTTGTTTTTCATTTAAGAAAAGTTGCTCTCTTCAGGGGGATGGCAATACTATCAGATCATTGAACCTCCAAAGTATTATCCCCCTGATACTTGCTATTTGGCCTCATCCAGTGACCATTCTAAGATGTCTAGGCACAAGGGAGTCAGCAATGCCTGAACCAAACCGTACAGAGAGACCAGGATGTTCCCTGGTGTGACCTCCAGGATAAACACTTCCCCCACAAAGGGCAGAGGTGGCATCTGGTGGCTGCCATCCTTCTCTCCTTGATAACAGCTTTCCGGTGGATGGGATGCAGGTTGCCATGGTGACGGTAGATAGAGTAAACCTTTAGGGAACTGGAAGTTTCCTTGCTGAGAAAATCTGCTACTTAGATACTGTGTGGCAAGTTCCCTCGGGTGCTTATTGAGATCGGAAGGTTCTGTGATCAGGTGGCCTTTGGTACCCTGGGGCTGTGGAGAGCCACCCTTCAACTCAAGCACATGAGCCCTGACACTGCCAAGACCAAGAATAATGCCACACCAGCAAAGGAGCCCTCCCTCCTTATCTGGTCCCTGGCCACAGGCATTAACTGTGCCAGACCATACCCAGGGTCATGTGCTACAATTTCTGCCACACAATGCTAAGATTCACCACCTTTGGCTTCTTATTCAGTTTCACCCCAGTGCTGCCGAGGCAAGCTCAGAAATAGTGGTATTAAAATCCTTTAATTACGGTGAACACGCTTGCCAGGAAGGCCTTCCTCGCACTCTGGTTCTCCCTCAGCAGCAGGCAGAGTGTTCGCTTACCATACACATAGGAGATGCCAACAAGCTCAAATATGGCGATGATGACAAGGGCGTAGGAGGCAGCATAGGTGTCCACGAGCTGGAACATGTAGATTCCACCCTAGGAAAAGAGAGAAATCGCCACCATCAACTAGGACCCTGGGGCCAAGCTCCATATCCCACCATCTTCGTCCTCCTGAGGGCAGCAGGTAGGTAGGAGTCAGAAGTCCTCCATACGCAACAGCAGAAACCTACACCTCGGCTAGGTGTATAAAGTGGAGACCTGGCCAGGTTAACACAGACATCCCTCAATGGCCTCTAAGGTGATACATAGGGCAAGCACAAAAGGGCTGGTTTAATATCTTTTATTTTTCCAAGGCCAAGGTCGGCCTCTGAAGGAGCTGTGGAAGCAGCCACCTGCCTTGTGTTTGCTCTGAGCTGTCCGTGGCCACTTCTATCTGCATAGATGGGCTTGATTGACTCCCATGTGACCGTTAGCTACGGGTGTGAGTTTAGTTTAGAATCACCTACGCCGGGAGCCTCATTGAGGAATTTTCCTGACTGCCTGAACTCACTTGGGAAGACCCACCCTGAATGTGGTTGGCACCCTCTGGGAGCGGCCCAGATGGAAAAGGTCACAGAAGAAGGAGGAGAATTCGCCCTCTGTCAGCTTGGCCGTCACTCTCCCCTCAGAGTTAATCTACCTTGTTGCCCCTGACACCTTCCCCGACATCAGCAGTAGCCTTTCTGGGCTCCCAAGGTGAACTGAGAACCAGGGGTTCTCCAGGAACACCCCCCCCCCAGGTCTTCAGCACCACACTGGGACTGCTTGAGGCACAGAGCCTCGTGGACTAAACAACTCGTGGGTTCTCGGCTCTCCGGGTGTGAGAAACTCTTTTGGACTACTTTGACCACGCTTTGATTCCTACCAGTTCTGCTTTTTTAGGGAACCCTAACTAATATGCTGGACTTTCATCACACTTTCTGGACTCTCTCTCTCTCTCTCTCTCTCTCTCTCTCTCTCTCTCTTTCTGTCTGTCTTGCTCTTTAAGTCTCCCTGCTGCCGATGAGGCTTGCAGACCATTTCATTCCACTCCATATTTTATAGATTGAAGAGCTAAGGCCCAGAGGAACGAACACGAGGTCACAGAGAGAGCAAGTGCACTGTATGTCCCAAGTGTTACTATGCGATTTGCCAACATATCTAGGACTAGGGGAAAAAATTCGAGTGACATTGGTGTTTATAGACAACAAGAAATATCTTGGAGATGTGACTGATGGGTAAATCTGGACGTTCCGGCTTCCTGTGTCCTTTATGTAGGACACACCTGTCTTGTTGGCTCAAGAAGACTACGTCTCAATTATGAAGATGCTAGTGGTGTCACTGGGAGCCAAGATGACATATTTCCCTGTGTGGTCAGAAATATTTCTGAACTCATGCCAGCTATGGTGGTAGCTGTGATTTGGCTCTGGGTATGAGGTCTGAGAAATGAGACTACAGGTTGACAGTCATCACAGGGGCTCCCCATCAGGCCTACGGCTGCAGCCTCTCACCGGAGTGATGGCAGACGGCCATCACACAGCTCCCAGCCGACCACCCGTCATCACAGCAGCCTCTCACCCGAGAGTGGTCGCTGGACAGTCCTCATACATCCCCAGAATAGCCGGCCACGCACGGAGGGCTCTCACCTGTGTGATCATTGGGAAGCCCATAATGAAGAAGCAGATACAGCAGCCCAGGGTGAACACAGGCTTGTGTGTGCGCAGGTACTTGGGGAACTCATCCGAAATGGAGGTCACAATGGTCTCGATGGTGGCAAACTGAAGCAGGGCCAGGACAAAAGCGTGTGAGTTCAACTGTCCCCGTCGGACACTTCCCGCCAAAAGTCCTTTGTGGGGTCACCGGGGAAAGCCGTGCTTGGGTTTGGTCTGATTTTGAGGGTGGCATCCCTTCTGTGGTCTAAATGGCCTTACTGGATGCCCACACAGAAAGTCAGGAGAAATCAAGCAGAATACGAGCTCCAGAAACTCCGGCTCCAGCCCCCGGAGAATGCACAACCATCCATCAGGACATTTTAGCTCCGTTTTGTATTCATGAGATGTAAATTCCTCTCCTCGAGTTCTCTGCCATTTGATCTCCCACTTGAGGGAAAACCCTCTTTGCACCCAGTGACTACGCTCCGGTCGCCTGTCAGCGTGATTTGTAGCAGCTTCAGCCTCGTGGCCGTTTTCCTAAAATTGACTCCATAATGTCATCTCTCAGGCTACCCTCTAGGATTTGTCGTGGCAAAATGATGCCAACGAGGGGAGGACGCAGGCTAATGCTTGGCACAGAATACAAAAGGAGGGAATGGAAGAGAGAGGGAGGATCCTTCACGCCGTGAAATGATCACCAGAAAGGTTAAGCTGGGTGTGGTGGTGCCCGCCCGCAATCCCAGCACCCCGGAGGCTGAGGGGGGAAGCTAAAGAGTTCAAGGCTATCCTTGGCTACATAGCAGTATCTTGTCTTTAAAAAGCTATACCCAAAGTTACTGTGACTCTAGACATGTGCGTCGCCATCCCAAGACTATGCAGGAGGAACCTCCACATAACCCACTGGCCTAAGTCTTGCTCGCAGGCTGGATCTGGGATCTTGGAAAGTAGAATCTTTAAAGGGCGTGTGGGGCAGGCATGGGAGGGACGGGGACTCACCATAGTGTCAAGTCCAAGAGTGAGAAGCATCAGGAAAAAGATGATGGCCCAGAATGGAGAGAGAGGCAGCCTGGTTAAGGCTTCTGGGTAAACCACAAATGCAATGCCTGGCCCTAGAAGGAACAAGGGAGATGGTGGTAGGCAGACCCGGCTCAAAGCTCCTCTCCCCCGAGCCCACAGGCCTTCGGTCCCTGAGGTCCTGAACTGTTACATGTTACAGTTCTTTCTCCACTATCGGTTATCTGTGCTCCTCTCTGCCAATTAGACCATGCTACCTCCCATGCAAAAACTAAGAAGCTACATTCTTTTATTTGATGAACTGGAGGTAAAGATAATTATCACCTTCTGGTAGAATTGTTGATATTGAGCCCTGAGGGGTACCTGGTAGTGTCTGGAGACTACTTTGTTTCTCACAACTGGAATGAAATGGGATAATTGCATGATCAATTTGTCAACTTGACAGGATCTAAAGTCACCGAGGGAACAATCCACTGGGCATGTCTGCAGATAAAGTCCCTATGTCAGCTAACACTCATGCGTAGCACCATCCATGTGGAGGCTCTGGGCTAAAAAGGGGAAGAAAGCGAGGAGAACACAAGTGTGTGTGTGTGTGTGTGTCTCTCTCTCTGCTTCCTGCCTGCAGAGACAATGTGATCAGTTGCAGCAAGTCCTGTCCTCTGCCTTACCCACCCTGAGGGAATGCATCCCCCCAAACTGTGAGCCAGATGAACCCTCCCTCCTACAAGCTGCTTTTGTTAGGGATTTTGTAACAACAAGGAGAAAAGTACAGAAAACTAGTGAAATCAGAAAGCAGAGGCCAGGGGCAATGGTTTCCTAGATACCAGATATTCTCGGGGATTGAAGGAAGGGGCTGGGGAGGATGCTGCAGAGCTTGAGTCTTCTCAGCAAGCAGGTGCCCACAGTGTCCTGCAGGGGGCCTCAGCTTCCCTGGGGCTGTCTGACAGGCAGTTGTGGGCTGTCTGGTATAGGTACTGGGAATGGAACTCTGGTCCTCTGAAAGAGCAGCAGGGGTTCTTAACTGCTGACCCATTTGTCCAGCCCACATAAAAGCACTTTTAAAAACTGGAACTTATTGGATTGTTGGTTCCTGTTGTAGTTAGAAAGAAAATGGCCCCCAAAGGGAGTCACGCTATTAGGAGATGGTGGCCTTGTTGGAGTAGGTGTGGTCTCGTTGGAGGAAGTGTGTCACTGTGGAGGTGGGCTTTAAGATTTCATATGTGCTCAAGTCACGCCCAGTGAGACAGTTCACATCCTGTTGCCTTTGGATGAAGATGTAAAGGACTCCCAACTCCAACACCGTGTCTGCCCACATGCTGCCTTGCTTCCCACCATGACAGTAATGGACTAAACCTCTGAACTGAAAGTGAACCGTTCCAATTAAATGTTTTCCTTTATAAGAGTTGCTGCGGTCATGGTGTTTCTTCACAGTGATAGAAACCCTAATAAGATAGCTCCTAATGTTGCCTAAGACCTCAGGATATGTAAAAGATAAAACCCCGAAGGCCTCAGATAACCCCTGTCCTATACATTTATTGAACAGACTATAGAGCCAGTCCTCAAATGCTCCTGGCATGAACAAGTCTGTATTAAACTAGAGTTGAAAACAGGTCTTAAACACAGACCCAGAAAGCCATCCCAGGAATGGTTACCACCAGAAGACTTCACTGTGGTGCTTGAACACCATCCTGTCTTTGGGGTGTAACTACTTTGGAGGGGGGTTGACAACTTTGACAGACAGACCTCCCCGAGAAGGGAGTGGTCACTGCCATCAATTAACTTTATGATGGTGTCGTTTCTGACTAACGATCAGAACACAGTGGCCAGCATTCACATCAGCAACTGTCCTGTGTGTGGCTGTGCTGATATTGCTCAGCTAGGCTGGAGCGAAGCTGACCCCACACATCGTGCTGAGCCAGCCTCCTTTGGGTAAGGAGGTAAGAACTACACTTAGGAAGAACAGATATGAAGGGGTGTGAGCTGCACCCATAAAGTCTCATCAACATGACAGCCTAAACATGAGCCAAATGAGGACAAGAGACACGCCAAAGAAGATAAGGGAAGACCATGCTGCTTCAACCCTACACAAAAACTATAGGCACCTAAGGAACACTGAGAGCAGGAGAAAGAGCCTTCCCTAGGGAAGACTTTACAACTGATTATCCAGTACCAAACGATCTGCCCTGAAACATGCATTCAAGTAACATTGCACAGACTGAGCAGATATATATTTAGGAATATGTGTGTGTGTATGTGTTTACATATACATATATATACATGTACATACATGCATGCAACAACAATTAATGAAAAAGGCTATATATCTAAAAAGGAACAAGAAGGGGTATACAGGAGGAAAGGGAAGTGGGAAATTATGTAATCATTTTGTAATCTGAAAAAAATAAAAGAAACAATAAAAATATATTACAATTTTTATATATAAAAGAATATATATGTGTCCCACAAAGAGTCTGGGACAAGGTCTCAAGACTCGAGGTCCCTCCTGGGGAATGTGCCCACTGTCTTTGCACCTGGGTTAGATGTGATCTTCTTCCTGTAAAATGGCAGACATCAACAACTACAGGAAGGGGCATTTCAGAGAGACTTGCTGGAAATTGCTGCTGCTTTTCACACGGAAGATCTGCAAATTTGTATCTGAGTGTTACTAACACCTGTCCTCCCCAGGCCTGCTGGGACAGGAGACAGCTCAGAGCAGCTCGCTTAAGTGGCCTGTGTGTCCCCAATTACTGTTTTTGGTCGGTTCATCCACTAATTCCCAACAAGATAGTTTAAAAAAAAAAAAAAAAAAGCAAAATGCCTCAGAAATTCTAGAAAGTGGGGCGGAAACTATCGGCCTCAATGACTGTGCTGGAAGAAATTGAGGTTATAGAACAGCTAGGGGTGGCGCAGTGCCTGAGGATAAAGCCCTCTCAGCACGTCCTGCCTCCCAGGGAGTTGGAGAATTCTCAGCCAGCAGAAAACACTGCAGAGCTCACTGATGCAGAACCAACATCTCTGGGGCTCGTGCTCTCTCCGGGGAGAGATGATGACAGCCCTGGCATACGCTGGCACCTTAACTCCTCCAGGCTGTGTTGGCACAAAGGAAGCAATGATTAATTGTCCCCGGTGGACAGGAAGAGACCAGGTCGTCCCTCCTGAAAGGTGACCTAGAGCTTGGCTTCTCCTGTGTGCTTGCTCTGAGAACCACTGGGAGTCACTTGAAGGACAGCTGCCCGACAAGCCTGCCACCTCTGGAGGGCCTGGGGCTCATGGCTATTGCCTCTCTGCACCTGCCACACCGAAGCCAATATGCCTGGTCAGACAGCGTCCAACCAGAATGATCAACAACCCCCACAATGACAGTCCCCAGCCGCCATGACTTTGCAATATCCTCATCCTCTATAGAACCAGGCAGAGTGGAAATAAAGTTAATAAAAATCTTAACTACTCCCTCGACAAATGCTGTCCTAGAAACATAAGTTAAACGTGATGAGAGGAAAGCTCTTGCAAACTCCCAAGCACCATGCAAATGTTAGCCTCCTTTGGGCGCAGTGTAAACATTCACGCCGCACTCCCACCCCCACCCACCTGCTCACTCACTGCAGGTCTGCCATGCTAAGCAGAAAGCCTTGAGAACACACTTGACCCAACAATTAGGAAAAGTGCTTAGTAAGGTCAAGGCTCCCCGAAGTCAAGCCAGAGCTCATTAAGGATCTACAGAGCAGGTACCAGGAGCAGCAGCAGGGCTATGGGCTAACTAATGAATTCCCTACTCATGCCTAACAGGTTTAACAGGTACCGCCTGACCAGTGTGGGCTGGAGCAGGGTCAAGAGAGCAAGAAAGACAAAAGAAAAAAATAGAGGAGGAGGAAACAGGCTTAAAACAACCCCTCTCTTAGAAAGGTCAGCTGTAATGTCAGCCCTCCGTGAGCTTCCCACAGGAGCCTGTCTCAGTCATTGTCAAGATACTTGAGTACCCCAACTCCATCCATCCAAGTTCCCGACATAACGAGGTGAACGCTGCCCTGTACCTTGGTCGGCCACATTCTCAATGTTGACTTTGCGTTCGTTGGCCATGAAGCCGATGACAGAGAAGATGACGAACCCAGCAAAGATGCTGGTGGCACTGTTGGTGCAGGTCACAATCAGCGTGTCCCTGGAAGGAAGAGACCGGAGTTTGGTGACGTGAACCTTGCAAGGAGGAAGGGGTGGGGAAGGAGAAACGTGTGCCAAGTATCTGTACTCCATGAGCTTGTGGGTCCACCCATGGGCTTGTCATCCGCCCATGTATGTACATCCAAGGACAGAAGCAAGCAGTCCTGAGCCCAGATGTCCTTCTGTCAATCTGAAATGCCCCCAAAGACTCAATATCACTTTCTGAAACCGGCATCATTTCTACTGTATTCTAAATCATCACCCTTATTTTCACAGATAGAAGTGTAGCTCCCACACCTCCTCACAAGTGTTCATGAGCAGATGGAGACCATGTGAGAAAGCCACAACTGTCCAAGCGGCAGGGAATGACTGTGAGGTGCTGGTCTCTAACTCCCCAGCTGATACTTCTGTAACGCAGCCGCTATACCCAAGGCTCAGAGACCATCACAGAAGAGGGGACGGAAAGGGCAACAGAGCCAGAGACCCAGGATGTCTGCCATGAGACAGTCTCTTCTAACCACAAAAAGACACACCGTGAAGGGAGGTCGGGAAGGGGGTGGATTGGGAGGAGGGAGTGGGTGTGGCTAAAATACATTGTGGAACATTCTCATAGACTTAATAACGATGTTATATATTTATGATATTATAAAATTATGATGACCCCACCTAGGATCTCTAGGGGGAAGCACTAGTGCCTTTTGCTTAGGACAACTAATTCACAGCGGCTAAATGCTCACGTCTCCCCCAAATGACTATGATGAAGCTCAATCCCCAGTCAGATTACAAGGTAGGGCCTTGGAAGAATAGTACCACCCCATGAAAAGGACGATGCCTTCATGAAAGACGCTCTGAGGTGTGTGCTGCCCTGATGCTCGCCACTGGGCAGCTGCCACAAGGTGCCATCTGGAGCGTGGAGGGAGACCTCACCAGACACTGACTCTTCCAGCACCTTGACCCTGGAGTTCCCAGTCTCTATAAATATGAGTGATACATTTCTATCGATTATAAAATACCCAGTGTCAAGTATTTTTGTAATAATAGGCCAAAGTAACAGCGATATTATGATAGGAGATGACCCGGCCATCACAGTAAAAAAGGAGGCGACGCAATCTTGGAGAGTTCTAAGGCAGGAGCCCAGTATGAGGAATAGAAGGGCAGTGGGTCATTGAGATGACACCCACAGTATGATGGCATCCTGGGGGTGGGTCACAGGGCTGAGAAGAGCAAGAGGAACAATGGGAAAGAGACGGCCATCACTGCCTTCATTCTAGAGCAGGGGTTCTCAACCCATGGGTTGTGACCCCTCTGGCATACTCTAGCCCCCAAAATATTTACAGTATGATTCATAACCATAGCAAAATTATAATTATGAACTAAGAATGAAAATAATTTTATGGTTGGGGGTTCCACACTCCGTGAGGAACTGTATTAAAGGGACATAGTATTAGGAAGGTTGAGAATCACCGTTCTAGAGTCTTCTGCAGGTAGCACAGCCAGGGGTTCACCGTCTGCCCTAGGCTCAAATGTAAGGCCACAGATAGATGGAGCTTTGGGCCTGCATTGAAATCTTGGATCCTGGTCTTTCTCTTCTTCCTCTCCCCCCTCCTCATGGTAGCGACCACTTGACAGCGTACTTCCTGTGGTAGCTCCCATGACTTATTAACCATTGCGAGGATGCTTCATGCATGACCTAAAATGACTCTGAGCAGTTCCTTTCTGCTCAGACTGCAATGGTGGCAATGATGTCACCTCCTCTTTCAGGAACTGGGAAGACAGAACGGGTGATGTCTGCAGCTCACTCAGCCTGGTACAAAGTGGATGTGAAGAAAACACCTGCCCTACCAACCCCTGAGCTTCTAAAGAGCAAGCTGGGGCAAGGGAGGGTAGTGGAACAGAAATGGAATCAACTGCATCCAGCTCTCAGCCTCTACCCTTGCTGCCAGGCCACACGGCCTCGTTTCCTGTGAGGTCCACAGCTGATGATGTCCAAACCAGCTGGCCTCAGCAGCTGCCGAGCGGTGTGACCAACACTCTTCAAATGCCTGAGTCTGGCACCTGGTCTTTAAGGAATTATGGGGTGAATTTTGTATCCTGACTCTGGCACCTTGGCCCTGAATGAAGATAGTGACTGAAGTTGCTTATTAAGTATCTACTATGTGCAACTGCATGCACCACCTCTTACCCACAAAGCATTGCGTTCTGTGCTCTGCACATGAGAAGACTGATGTCCAGAGGGTCACATCCTGCCTGCGCCTTGCATGTGTAGCACATGGCAATGCTATCCTTAAATGCCTCCTAGCTCCATGCTGCCCCTTCCTCTTCATCAGGTTTCCTTTCCCATGAAACTCCTTGAAAAGTATTTATCAAGTGGTCAGGGACTCTACTACACATATGACTACTCCATGATTGGATATGTGAACTCCCACGGGACACAAGCAGCCACAGTGACCTCTCCAGTATTCTCCACTCAGCGCCCTGGTCGGTGGGGTCAGCTGAGATGACGGAGTCAGTGACCAGGCCGTGGTCAGGGTTCCTCCTGAGCCCTAGTGTAGCTCTGGCTCTGCCTCGCGGGCCTGTGGAGGCTCCATTGCGCTCACTTCGCGGGCCTTCTCCCTCTGGATCTCAGGCCCACATGTACCTGTAGCAGTTGTTGTGGAATTTGTTGTAAGAAGACAGAGTGATGAGCCCTCCCCAGGCAGCAGACAGGGAGAAGAAAATCTGGGTGGCGGCATCCTTCCACACCTGGAAAGAAGCGGGAAAGTCACATCATAAGAAAGACCAGCATGTTGCCTTCCCAAGTAAATCGGAGGTGATTAGTGGCAGGAGAGCCCTGAGCACACAGATGGAAGCTGTGCCTCTCCTGTGCCTGAAACCAGCGTAGGAGTTAGCTGGCACGTTCTAACTCTGTCTGATCGAAGCAAGGGTTGGGACCATCTATGGGCAGACTTGTACTTACATGCCCCTGCACATCAAAAAGCAGTCACACACCAAATCGACAATCAATGGCAACAAGATATAGTCATGGATACAAAACAAAACGCTGCTTTAATTGACAGTCCTATGCTTTATGGCAATTGCCACTCAAAACCTGAGATTCCACAGGTCGCCAATCTTAGCAGAGCGGCAACGAAATGGACAGACTTCGTGGGGTCACCTTCCTCCTGAGCCTGGCTCTAGAGGGTGATTCTGGCTGGCCACCCTCACAAAGTTTCAGGTCCCTCGAGCCTTTGCACACTGGTGTATATGGCATCTACTATGGATCTGTGTTCATCAATTTAATTTTGTCTTGAAATTGTCCTTAAGGGGGCTGGTGAGAAGGTTTAGTAATTAAAGTCACCTGCCACAAAAACTGAAGACCAGGACTGACATGGTAGAACGAGAGAACAGACTCCTAAAATTTGTACACACACACACACACACACACACACACACACACACACACACCATACAAATAAATGTCTAATAAAAATTTTAGTGTACTTGAGATAATGCGAAGGTAGATATCAAGTATGAGGCTGGCAAAGCCTACATCCGCCAGCACCCACTCTCCTTGTCCACTCAGAAACAAAGCTACGACTCATGGAAAAGCAGTCGTGTGTCCTTCTTCTCTCCATCAGGGAGGCTCAGTGGGGAAAATCACCATGTCACTTAGTCTCCGGCCAATTGTGTGAGAATAAATTACTATGTGGAGTCTCTGCAGTCTCTCCTCCCCAAGAGGAGGCATGCTTCTCTCTACCTCTCCTCTCACACCTTTCTGCTACCTGGAATGTTGGTGTGATGGCTGACACACCAGAAGTTCTGGGGAGTCTAGTCCCTAAGGAAGGGAAAGAGAAAAGACTAGACTCTTCATCCCTCGTGACATCACCGAGGGTTGAACTGGCTCTTAACCAACTACCACGGGAGTGGCGCCAACCAGTATCTTGCATACGCTGGCCGTGTCTGGAAACTCTGTGGTACGTGCAGCCAAACTCAGTCCTTGCCAGGAGTTTTTAATGTACCTTAGGAAAGCAGAGGAGAGTCATCTGCGGTTATGCAATCACCCTTCACAGGAAGGGGGTGCTTGTATGAGTGTGCATTTTTGAGAGTGTGGTGTGCAATACACCAAACGCACATAGGAAATTCAAGTGTGTGCTGGTCTCACATCAGTGTGTAGGAAGTCTTCAAATGTGTCAAGGGCCTGGAAGATCAAAGATCTGCCCGTGCTCTGATTTTCCAGCCAGCAAAGCTCCACTTCCAACAAGCTATAATTCACAACAGATACGTGGCATGAGGTGGCCCAGGGCTATCAAAGGACACCGGTCTTCAACAGAGCCTACCCTACAACTCTAGCTGCAGAATTTGCTCATCAACGCCTTAGCACACCAAGATCTCCGAGACCTGAAGTAGGCATGAGGATTCCCATGGGGGCAGGGAAGGCTGGCTCCTGCTCCACATTCAGTACTGTGGCCCATCCCTGATAGTTCCCACCCTCACCCCTGCTTCCGGTCTGCTAGAAACAGAGTAAGGGGCCCACCGTGGCATCCGTGAGCTTCTCCCACTTAGGCGTGATGAAGTACCAGATGCCAGCCCCAGCTCCAGGCAGTGTGACCCCCCGGATGAGGAGGATGACCAACACGACGTAGGGGAACGTGGCTGTGAAGTACACCACCTGGAAGAGCAGAGGGATGGAGAGGCGGGTGAGTGGGCATCCCTGAAGATGTTACCAAAGGGAGGTGACAGAGGACATGCCACCCGGGTACACGTGCCCAACAGTGAGTTCTCCCTGAGCCCTGACGGCACTGGAGGACCAGGCAAAACACTGAGGTCAAAATCAGATAGGGAAGAATGGAGAGTATTTTCCTGTCAATCAAGCCTGGGAGATGTCACCCTATACAGCTACCAACTAATCAACAGTGTGAAGGGAGTCTTGTGCTGCGCTCACCAAAAGTCCTACCCCATCTCTGCTGGAGGGCCCAAATTTCACCATTAAAGATAAGGCCTAAAATTAGACACAGTTCTATTCAAAGGCTATCCAATTCTCTTATATTGAAGTGTGATCTTGGGCAGGCCCTTCAGGCCTCTGAACCTCAGTTCAAATAGCTGAGATAGAAAGATAGATAGATAGATAGATAGATAGATAGATAGATAGATAGATAGACAGATAGATACATAGATATATAGGTCCAGAACTATTGTCCTAAGACAATACTGAGAATTATACAGGCTGCTGTGTGGAAGCCCCAGTGCAGGGCCTGACCACAAGAAAGTCATTAAATACAGCTCCGTTCCGCAGGCATTTGTGGAGGGCTTCCTGTGAGCTGGCTGCTGTGACAGACACCATCTCTACAGAGAGAAGGTACAAAGCAGAGAGGCCCCAGTGTCTGAATTGGGGCTGAGCCACCCACAGGAGACTCGTGGGATTCCAGGGCAATATGCAGAGTCTGAAGGATTCACGGAGATGGCACTCGAGCTGGGTCTCAGAGCATGAAGGTGAACTCAAAGTGTGGAGTCATGATGGGAAGAGGGAGGAGGGGAGATATAGGCAAGGCAGGACCACAAAGGGTGCTCCCCCCTCAGTACTTGGATGGCCGAAGGCCCGAACCAAGGGTGGAGAGGGGGTAACTACAGATGCTGGAGGAGGTGGGGGCACAGGAGGCAAACCGGTAGCTGGGGCTTTTGGAAATGGGGCAGGACTGAGGAAAGGAACATCTGGAGAAACATCAGCAGACCTCAGGGATGTGCTGAAGGAGAACAAGTTAGGAGTACTTTGTCACCTGCTAATCAAGCCTCGGTGAAGGGAGGGCTTGAGATTGAGACTTAATAGATGGGGTGGGGGGAGTGAACTGTGCCTGCCCAGCTCCACAGTCACAGGGGCCGGATTCAAATCCTGACTCCTCCACTTCTGAGCTGGGTCACTTAGGGGAGTGGTTAGAGCTCTCTGGACATAAGTGTCAGTATTTGCAGATGGTAATATCCGTGCACTCCGCTTGGAGTGCTGGGGGAGCGTGATAGGGCAGTCAAGAGGAAGAGGACAGGGAGCCTGTCGAGGACCACGGGGTGAAGCTTCCAAACACTGAGACACCCAGGCACTCAAAGCCACGCCCTCGCTTGCTTGCTACAGACATGGAAGGAGTTGGCCGCCTCCTCCTCCCCTGCTACCATGCTAACCTGTCGCCTCTCCTCCGACCCATGGAACATCCATCGTTTCTCCCTCTGGTCCTGGAAGTGAGGTCGGGCCAGCTCCAACCCCCTCCTACATCTCCAAACTTACTTCTGTCCCCTCCCTCTAAGTCTGAAGGAAAGGAGAAGGCCTTGTACACAGGCATTCCAAAATCCAAGGACATCTGACACTTTGGGGGGGGGGGAGGAATTAAATCACTCCACCCCAAGCTGGCCAGACTGGCCTCCCAGCTGTGAGGCGAGACTGGAAAAGGAGGCGCTACAAGGCAGGGCCTGGTCACATTCAGGTTCATTTCTTACCTCCACCAGGGAAGGAGCAACTGAGGACCACCTAGGACCAATGGGAAGGGAAGCCTACCGGAGGACACAGAGAAGAGACTCTCTAGTCCCCAGGGGCCTGTGGGAGGAACCATCAGGACCCCACCTCTCACCTGGCACAGCTGAGCTAGCTGAACCAGCTGTTCCCACATGGCCACTGTAACACAGGACACTGAGACCCAGGCTAAACACAAGTCGAGGGGTTAAATATTCCATTTATGGACCAAGATCCAAACCTGAAGCCACTCCAAAGCCATAGGGTCCATTACGTGTCATTTTGTGAGCTGCCAAACCAGGAATGGGGGCTGGAGGTCAGCATGTGAGGTGTCGAGGACACAAGGCCTCAGTAGGTGCCTTGCAGGGACCTACAAGCCAGCATGAGAATCTCCTTAAATGCACACCCCAGGCACAGAGAGACCCCTTGCCCTGTCCATGGGCCTGTGTGTAGGTGGCCCAGTTCCTTGGCTCCTGGTGAATTGAGAGAGTAGCATTGGGCTTGCACGTTGGAAGTGAGCGGGGAGCAGGTAGAGACTTCCTGCACGCTGCTCGCCTGCGTCAGGTGGGCTTCCACGCATACCTGTTTCACATGCTCTGTCAGACTAACCATGAGTACTAATGAGTCATGCTTGGCAGGAGGGGCAATGACTGACCTGACCCCTGCTGGCTTCCTCCTCACAGCAGGACCCTCACTCAGACAGCTAATTAGGTTAGCGCTGCTGTGCTGCTTGAACTTTCTGGCAGAGTAGCCCAGGGGCCAGGGGGGTCTGCCTGTGACCTTTGGGCCCTATAGGCTGCTTACCCTCACCTGCGGAGTTCTACCTGCTCAAAGGTCATGTCTCCAAAAGACCACTTTGTCCCCTTAGGTCCTGCACTAGAGGAACTGAGCTCACATCACCACAGGGAAGGAGGGCATCTGTTGGCCTGGGCAGTGCTTGTGAAGTCTCATCTCACATATGAGCCCCTCAGTCCCACGTTCTGGCTCTCAAATAACTTTGATTTACGGCAGTCTAACCCAGGTCAGGATAAGAATGCGCAGTTCCTTATTCCTGGTGGCAATCTTCATTTTGAGGAAGGGAAAACAGAAGTCCCCCTTGGTATTCGATTGGAAACCTTCCTAAGCGAAACAGGATTAGTATGCCAGGTGTCAATGACAAACTTCCTGGCTCCAGAGTGCTTTCAACTTTCTCGTCCCCAAAAGCCCACGAAATCCAGCCCAAAAGAATTAAACTCTAACCACTTGAAAGAGTCAATGTAATTCTACTCCAACAAAAGCACAGATGAATGGCGCGTAAAAGAATCTTAGAGGCCAGGTGTGACAGTGCACACTCAGAGGCAGCGCCTAGGAAGGAGACAGGGAATCTATGAGTTCAAGGCTTGTTGAACTAGAACAAGTTCCAGGACAGCCAGGACTGCGCAGTGATGCCAGGCCTCAGAAAACAAACAAACAAACAAAACAAAACAAAACAAAACAAAACCTTGCAGAATACTTATTTTAGTGCTAGATTTTTGCAAACAAGCACAATAAGGCCTTGACGCACCCTAGGATTTTCCAAAATATCAATGATAGAGCTGAGACAGGCCAGGAGACCTGGCACCCTGATGGTTCAGGCAAATGGGAACTCGTGGTTTCTTACAGAGAAACTCATGCAGATTCTAGGCTTTGCCATCCGTGTTCAAATGTCCCTGCTGCCACTTACAAACTGTGTGCCAGCGGGCAGCTAGATGAACACAGCCTGTGTGTAGAAGGGAACCAGTGGACCCCTGCGGCGGGTGCTGCCAAAATGGGATACTGGTGCACGTGGAGTCATCAGCCGTGCCCCCCACTGAGCCCTCCATAAGGTGCCTACTCTTCGTGCTTCCCCAGTGAAGCCACTGTTTCTGAGACGCCCATCAGGCATTTATAACAAAGTGAAAGGAACTAGTGTTAATGAAGTCCCGGCCGAACACCAGGCATTTTACGCGCATTCTCATCCCCTTGTGGAAATCCTACAGGGTATGGGCTACCATCCCCAGGTTAGGTAGTTGAGGATTAAGACACAGGTTCCCAAGGTTGCCTGGTGTGTCCACAGCTTGGAAGTGATCGCAGCCTTTCCAATGGACCACGGCCAGGCCACATCATCTCCATCTCTAGCCTGTGGGACAGTGGCTGAGCAGATCCTTGGCTGGTTGCTCTAAGCATCCTTATAGACGATGGAACTGCCATTCAGCTCAAGTCCAAGCCATGGGAGGCAAGGATATCGGGAAAGCACAGGCCAGCCTGGACATGGGTACATGGTCCCTTCAACATCCTCTTTTTTCCTATAGCCCTACAGTGCTCATCCTGAGTCAGTGGGGTCTTCAGGCCTCAATCCCAACTCCCACTTTACAGATTGGAAAACTGATCTTAGAGGATATATGGGCCCTGATAGTTCCTTCAGCAAGTGCTCAAACAGAACAGTGTTGGAAGTAAAACACCCTAAACTCAATCTCCCAACTCAACAACTTTCACCTTCAAACTGAGTACATAGAAGTCCTCTGAAATAGCCAAGATGAGAAAATTGGCTTTTTGTTTGTTGGGGGGAGGAAATAAAAGAGTAAATCCAAAGCTCTGCGGAGCGTCACATCTCAAGCAGAGACATTACAAAACCCCAGGGGCTTGGAAGGCCATGGGAGGAGAGACCTTGTCTCAAAAAATAGGCAAAAGAGGAGGAGGGGAAGGAAGCGAGCTCAGATAAAGCCAAGTTCTTACTTTTCCTGACGTCTTAATTCCTTTCGCCAGCGATGCGTACACAATCACCCAAGCCAGAAAGAGGCAGAAGGCCAAGGGCCACCTGATCTCACCCGGGTATTCAATCCCTGCAGAAATCTTCAACACAAAGTACCTAAGGGTCAAATAGAAATGGAAGAAGAAAAGGAATGGGAGGGAAGGGGGGAGGAGAAAAGAGAGGAAGGGAGGGAGGGAAGGAGGAAGGGAGAGAAGGAGAGAGGGGGAAGAAGGGAAGAAGTGGACAGAAAGTGAGGATCTGCAAGCTTCAGCCTCCCATCAGAGCATCAGAACCAGGTTTAAACACATCCAGCGCCACCCACAGCCTCCAGGAACCTCGTCAGACAGACTAGAAGGATGGGCAGGCCTGGCTCTTGCCCCCAGCTGGCTACCGAGCACTTCTGATCCCTTTAACTGTGAGCTGGGAGGCCACGTGTGGCCAGTACGTGGATTTTTGTGCAGACAGTTGGCATAACATCTGGAGTTGCCACACAGAAAGCACAGCAGAAGGGCTGGGGGCGTTGGCTGTGTTAGGGCGCTTGTCTAGCGTGCACGAAGCCCTGGGTTTGACCCACGTGCCTGCAACCTCAGCACTCGGGAGGTGGAGGCAGGAGGAACAGGAATTTAAGGTCATCCTTAGCTATATAACAAGTTCAGACCTGGTCTGGGCTACATGAACCCCTCTCTCCAAATACAAAAGTGGAAGATGCACAATAGAAATTCTGAACTGGGGACTGGGGGGGACTGGGGAGGCTGCTCAGTGGTTAAGAGTGCTGACTCCACAATCCCCAGTACCCATGTGACAAGCCCAGCAGTTCACAAACACTCAAAACTCCAGGCTTTAGTATCCATATAGGCCGACGCTTACACAGTCTCTCTCTCTCTCTCTCTCTCTCTCTCTCTCTCTCTCTCTCTCTCATACACACACACACACACACGTTGAAAAGAAGAAGAAAATCTGAAGAGCGGAGAATGGTGCCGGGCTTTTCTGTGCCATCCGCTCTTCACGAGTGAGCATCCAGGCAGCTCTGTACTTCCCAGCTTTAGAAACGAGGAATGGTAGACCACAGGGACTCAAAACGCACCTCTGCATTATTGTCCAAGTTGTTCTAAACAGGCTGCAAGGCTGCCGTTGACTGAAATATGAAGACACTCACTAGAGCGTGCTGGCCTGGCATACAGGCAGTCCTGGTTTGAATCCCCAGCACGGTATAAACAGGTCATGATGCTGCGTGCCTGTCATCCCAGCACTTGGGAGACGGAGGTTTTAGGATGCAAAGTTACTTCAGTGAACCAGGAGAGGGTCACTGGAGACCCCAGCAGCACTGGCTCATACCACCTCAAAACAGATCAGGTAGAGCCGGGCACCCTGGCGTCCCGGCAGCTGGCAGGCACCCCTTTAGCTTGCCTCAGCCCACCAGTCTCCACTGCCTTGTTATTCCATTCATTCACCGTCCTGCCCACACCAGACCACATCTGCACTCAGGATAAGGAAGAAGCAGAACAAACTCCATTTTGAGAAAGAACTCCATTTTAGACAGGACCTAACCAGGGGGTGAATGCAGCCCAGAAAAGGCATAAACATTCCCAAGAAACTGTGCCAGCCCCGGTCAAAGTGACCAAGCAGGGTGTCCAAACAAGATCTGCTTGCTTCAAACATCCTCGTAGATAGCTGATCAATGGCTGCTTAGAAATTCTTGTCTGCTGACAGTCACTGTTTTAAAATTCCCCTCTACCCCAACCAATAAATTCAAAACTTGCATACTTTACCCAATCCCAAAATGTCAAGGCTTCTGCCACCCTGCTTGCAGTTTCCCCCTTTAAAGTCCCCTACTGTGAAGTCTCGGGGCCATTCTCCCCCACCCACTGCCATGGTGTATGTCTGAATAAGGTCTGGTCCAAGTTAGGTAACTTGTAAACAAACCCCAGTGTGTTTGCACCGGATACTGGCTCTGTGGTTTTGGGGGGATTCCGTGTGAGGTGGGCATAACAATCTCAGCTTAGCTGGATGGCACTGTGCTCCTCTCCAGGAAGTTTACATACCCTCCTCCACAAACCTTTCAGCAAGTACACTTCCCAGCTAAGGGGCTTCTAGTAACCCTGAACCCCATTTTCAACATTAACAATACTCACAGAGAAAGGACAAAATGCAGCCAGACATGGGGCCTCATGCCTGTAGGCCCAGCCTCAGAAAGGCTGAGGCAAGAGAATGCCTGTGAGTCCCAAACCGGCCAGGGCTACAGAGAGAGTCCCTTTCTGGAAAGAAGGGTAGCAAGGGCAAAGGAAAGGAAGGAAAGAAGGGATGGGAGATGGAAGAAGGAAGTAAGGGGGAAAGGGGGTGGAGGAAGGGGGAGGTGGAAGAGAGGGAGAAAAGGAAAGGCAGGAAGGAGAGAGGGAGGAAGAATAAGAAGGATGGAAGGAGGGAGAGAAAAAGGGAGGGAGGAAGAAAAAACTGTTTCCTCATTTAAACTAAAGCCTTAGCCTGGCTTGTTTTCTTATTTTGACTTCTCTCCCCTGGAGGTCAAGTGGGGGAGGCAGAAGTCTGCTTTGATGGATGAGTCAAGGTTAGAACTCTTCTCTCGTCAGCACGCGAATTGCTATGGTACCCATCTTGTTCGTACCTGTCGTCATTCGGTCACCCCTCATTTCCAGGCCCAAGTGCACAGCTAATGGCTTTTGGAAGCCCAACCAGGACACAGTCTCTCTCTCTCTCTCTCTCTCTCTCTCTCTCTCTGCTCACTGGCATCAGGAGGGTGCAGAAGGAGGACACCCACCCCTCCCATCTCACAGGTCTGGTCTGGAAATCATCCTCTAGGCTTACTTGAAGTACTCCTCGCTCCCGCTGACGAATGTCTTATTGGCCTGGCTGGTGAAGTTAACCATTGTCAAGTTCGGATAGGCAGTCATACAGAAAGTTGAGTTCTTGATCTGTATTTTGGGATGGTCACTGATAACACAGGAATCTGTTCAGGAGAGAGTGGAGCGGAAACAATGAGGTAGGTATGGAGAATACACAAGGTCTCCCTCTGCCTACTTGTGGACAGAAGCCAGATCCCAAGCATTGGGGAGCAGTGGGGAAATATCAGCAGAGTACAGGTCTCACCCCACACCCCAGCAGCACAATACCTTGTGCTAATAACTAAAACCCACATTCACATAACACCGGGATCTTTAAAATGAGAAAATGGGGCTTTAATCCCAGCACTCAGGAGGCAGGCAGATCTTTGTGAGGTCCAGGCTAGCCTTGTCTACATAGCAAGTTCCAGGCCGTCCAAGGCAATACAGTAAGACCCTGTCCCCAAAACATTACGTAATTAAGTAAATTTTTAGGTGAAGATGGGTTTTGAAAAGATCAATAACTCTACTGAGTCCCATAGGTAATGAGTAAGAGATCAAAACTCAAACCCAGATTCTTAGGACACTACAGAAGACAAGGGGATTATGCAAATGAACTTCAGCAGAGAGGCAAATGTGCCAGACAAAGCTCCTTATGAGGAGGGTTCCAAGACAGGGTTTCTCTGCGTAGCCCTGGCTGCCTGGAACTTGTTATGTAGAACAGGCTGGTCTTGAACTCACAGAGCTGAGCCTATCTCTGCTTCTTGTGCGGGAGAATTATCTGTATTCTGTCAATCATGTATTTTAATAAAACGCTGATTGGCCAGGCACGAAGTATAGGCGGGTCAACCAGACAGGAAGTAGAGGTGGGGCAATGAGAACAGGAGAAGGCTAGGAAGGAGGAAGCCCATTCCTCCATTCCTGCCCAGACCACAGAGAAGCAAGATCTAACCTGCCCCGCTGGAAAAGGTACTGAGCCACATGGCTAACATAGATGAGAATAATGGGTTAATATAAGCTATAAAAGTTAACAAGAAGCCAGAGCTAATGGGCCAATCAGTTTATAATCTTATGGAGTCCTGTGTGTGATTTTCTTTGGAGCTTGCGGCTGTGGGGTACCGGGCAGGACAGATACACCAACAAGCCGGCCCCTCATGTTACACTGCTTCTATGTGCTCAGATTAAAGGTGCGCCGCCACCACCAGCTTAGCTCCTTCTTAAGTACTGTCACTACAGAAGGCTTGCTAGCAAGTGCTCACTCTGCCTGGAGCAGGAGCACTACCCTGTAATCACAGCAGCGTCAAACAGAGGCAGGAGGATCAAGGGTGCTGGGATACAGCTCAGCTGGTAGACTGTCAATCATTGAACAGGATACTCCGGGTTCAATGCCCAGCACCATGGGAAACCAGGCGCCACGGCTCACACCTGCAATCCCAACACTGGGCAGGCGGATGCAAAAACGGTCAGAGTTCAAAGTCATACTCAGCCTCACAGCAAGTTCTAGGGCGTCCTGGATGAGATTCTGGGTCAAACAGAGAACAATCCTAAGGTTCACTTTAAAAGCCCACATCGCCCTAGAGACAGCTCACAGTAGGTACTCTGAGAACCTAGGCTGCCACCCTCGCATGAGTTAGCAGACATGGTGACCGCACTGTGTGCTAAAGAGCCTTCAGCCAGACCTAACAGCGCGTCTCAGAGAATTTGATCATCACGGGACATACAATGACATCCAGAAACCTTTTTAACTTTTGCATCTGAGAAGCTGGGCACCATTGGCATCAAGTGCATAGAGACCAAAGATGCTACTGACTCGACAATGCACCAGTCAGTTCTCCCACAACAAAGAAATATCTGATCAAAAATATTTGTCAGAATATTTTGTCAGAAGCCTGGAGTCTGGGAAGGCCTGGGCTAAGGAGAGAAAATCAATCAGGCAAGTGTCGGCATGCCAGGCACCATGCTGGACCCAGCTCAAGAAGTCTTCCGTGGAGCCGGCAAGCATAGTTTATTTTTTTCTTCACCTGCATCAGGAAGAAGCTAGGATCTTCTTCTTCTTCTCACAGTATGTTTCTAGCAGCGTCATAAAGAGACACACAGCCGGGGGTTAGCTCAGTGGTAAAGCGCTAACCTAGCAAACCTAAGGCCCAGGTTCCATTCCCAGCACCACAGAAAGGAACACATGGACTGATATTTTACATAAAGAGCCCACAGGACTCCATAAAGACACAACTGGCACTGTGCTGTGAGGGCAGGACTGTGTCTCAGGACTGAAATACTGTGTCCACGGCCCTCAGCCTGAGATCACCCCCTCTAGTCCTGGAGTCAGCTGGCACCCAGAACTGCAGCCACGTGCCAAGGTGGCTAGTCCTGCATGGAAGGACAAAGCACTCACCCCTTGTAAGGCTCACTTTGATCTAGCTCACCCTGAAGTACACAGCAGGGGTCACGAACTCAGGTACCTAGAGAGTCCTGGGGGAAGCTCAAGGAGAAAGGCATAAATGGGGGGTGACCTGGAGCAGGTAACAGAGTGTCCCACCAATCCACATGGACCTTTTCCCGATGTGCTAGCTCGGGCACAGAAAGCCAGCCTGCATGCAGTCTTCCCAAACTGTGAGGCGTGAGTTAAAATTGCTCTAGATACGATGGCAAACGCTTGCGGAGATGATGCAGTGTATCCCCATGCCACACCTTCTGTGAGTACAGCCACAAGGGCGACAGCAGAGGTTCAGGCTGCTGCCCCGCCTGCGAGCACCTCCATCTGCTGAGAATGGATGACCCAACCACAGCGCTATTGCAGGAACCAAGTTAAGCGAGACGAGGAGTTTAAAGATACATACTCAATAAATCCTAGCAGGAACTCAACCTTCATCATTGTATCTGTCCATGGAGTGGATGAGCACCTGGCCTGCCTCGATTCCCTGCGGCTCCTCCCCACCCCCAGGTATCTGGGACTACAACGTGGGCTGGTTTCGTTGCTCAGCTGACTGAGCGCTTGCCTGACAGCGCAAAGCCCTGGCTTTAGTCTCCATCACTCATGTGTGGTGGTGCACACCTGTAACCCCAGCGTGTGGCAGGCTGAGGCAGGAGGACTGCCAGGAGAGTGAGATCGACTTTATCTCAATCTCTCAATCAAGCAAGGTTCAAAGGACAGTCATAGCGCATCCTCAGACCAGGATTCCTCTGTGTGACTTTCTAGGTCGGACAATTCTTTGCTGGTAAGGAAGCTGTCCTGTGTGGTAAGAACCATTGGCCACTGCTCACCAAATGGCAACTGCAGCTTGTTCCCTGACCAGATGCAAACCCAAACTAGCTCTACTAAATTTATCTTCCCTAGCACCCGCCTTTTCAATATTATCTCTTTAAAAAATACTTTATTTTAAGAAAAAGTTTCAGGAGGATTGCAGACTGACAACTGTCAAATCTTTACCGGGAGCCTGGCAGTGGTGGCGCACACCTTTAATCCCAGCACTCGGGAGGCAGAAACAAGCGGATCTCTGTGAATTCAAGGCCAGCCTGATCTACAAGAGCTAGTTACAGGACGGGCGCCAAAGCTACAGAGAAACCCTGTCTCGAAAAACCAGGGGGGAAAAAGTTTACTGGAACGATTTTTTTCTTCCCCAGCAGCAACCTGAACCATGCAATTAACGTTCCACCCAAATCCTTTTGGCGCGCAGTGGAGGGGAGAAGGTACTCTGAGAACCTACTGTGAGCTATCTGTAGGGTGCTGTGGTGTTTTAAAAGCAACCTAACCGCTAAGAGCGCAGGGCTTCCTGCATGCTTCCAAAATTGCCCTTGTAACGACTCTAGGAGTACAGTGGTGGACGTTCTGTGGATCACCACCAGCGCTGCCTCATAAGGTCAGGTTCCCGGTTTCCGCAGCAAGACTGCAGAGCCACCGGCAGCCTCAAGCCTCCTGCAATATCCCTTCTCACCACTGGGCGGCAGGAGCGTGCTTCCCGGCACTCCGCCCTTTCGGTCCACCAGAGTAGTGGTTGACAGGCTATCTCATCAGAGCTCCGCGGCCCAGCAACCCCGAACAAAGAACAGCGATAATGATCAGCTAAATTGGAAAGCTGTTGGAATGGGATTCTCTTTACTCGGGCAATTATTAATAAATGAAAGCACGGGAAAGACCGGGGAGAAAAGGGATCATTTAATTAAAGTTCTAATGAAAATTAAGCCATTCCAGAAATAGAAATGGTGTTTATACTGTTCCCATTTGAGCTGACCCAGCTAAGGCCCTGTTCGCACAAAACGGTGGCTGGACTCATTCCGCAGGGCAGGAACAAATTGTCCTCCATTGCGGATCCTCGGAGGGCTGCCAGGCTAAACAGTAGCCTGTGCTACAAGCGGCACCTTATGACATAAGAATCTGAGACAGAAGGATTGCCGCCTGCACTACAGAACAAGGCTTTGTCTTAATAAAAACAGTAAGGAAGGAGAAAGAAGATGAAAAAAACTGGGCATAATCTACCTCTATCTGTAGGTAGACCCAGGGCTGGTCTCAGGCTAGAGTGGACACAGTACTTACCGTCTGCCTGGTGTCTTATGCCAGTCAGAGGACACGATCCAAATAACATTAGGCATGGGACAAACTTCCACCCACTGTGTGTGAAGGCGATAATGTCAAGCCATTCATTCATTCATTCATTCATTCATTCATTCATTCATCACCTCTCGTGGGAGAGTACCAGGCTGGGGGAAAGGAGGTCGTTAATGGGGCTGAGGGGATGTGCCGGGAGGTCAACTGGGAAACACTGATGGGGTGGGCAGCGGGCCCGCCTACCAAAGAAGCCTAGCTTGTGTGTCCATCTTGGGGATGGCATGGGAAAAGCTATAGCCTGAACCCCCAACAGTTGGGCAAAGCAGAGGGGCTCTAAAGCCTCTAAAGTCTCTGTAGATCAGGCTACTATCACCTTCCCTATGTCACCTCAAAACCACAATAGAAGGGACACACTTGCCAAGGAGAACCTGCCGCCAGGTGTAGAAGCCACCCATGTAGAGATGACAGGGGCTGAGGGGGTGTGGGTGCAGAGGGGCAGTATTGATCGCTTGTTTTCTTTAATTAACAACGAAACAGTTAAAACACTGGCTAAGAATACTGTGGACTCTGACTGGTCCCTAGGCT